TGCAGAGGCATTTACCTATGTGGATCATGACAAGTTGTGGCTGACATTGAGGAGGATGGGAATCCCAGAACACTTGATTATGATTGTGAGGAACCTACACCTGGAGCAGGAAGCCATTGTGCTAACGGAGCAGGAGAGCACTGCATGGTTTGGAATTGGGAAAGGAGTTGTGTCTGGGATGTATCCTATCTCCCTACCTGTTCAGTATGAATTGTGTCTCAATATCAAGAAAACAAAGATTCTTAACCACTGGACCAATAGGCAGTGGATGGATAGAGAGATTGAAACTGTCAACAGCTTCATCTTGCTTGGATCCACAATTAACACCCTCAGTACGAGCAGTCAGGAAATAAGGAGACACATTGCAGTGGGAAAATCTGCAGTTAGGGATGTTTCCAAACTATTGAGTAGTGATGTCAATTTGAGGACTAAGGTGTGTCTGGTCTTTCCAGTTACTAGCTATGCATCTGAGACCTAGACAATGAGTAAGGATGATGGAAAAAAGAATTGATGCCTTTGGGCTGTGGTATTGGGGAAGAGCACTGAACAGCCAATGAAATGAATAGATATGTCTTCGAGAGGCTGAATGATGAGGCTTTGCCTCACATACGTTGGACATGTTGCTAGGAGAGGGACATGATGCTGGGAAGGGTGGAGGGTTGGTGAAGGAGAGAAAGACCCTGAGCCAGGTGGATTGACAGGGTGATGACTGCAATGGGCTCTTGTGTGTCGGGAAGTATGAGGATGGCGTAGGACAGGACTGGGTTCAGATCTTTTGTTCATAAGGTTGCTATGAATCATACTCAACTCGATGGCACCTAACAACAACATACTACATTTTGTTTCTCCATTTATATTGGTAAGCATTTGTTTCTACCTTTTGACTGTAGTGAATAGTACTGAAAGGAACATTGGTATGCAGGTCTTTTTCTGCATCTCTATTTTCAAGTCATGGATATATACCTAAAGAATAGGATTGCAGGATTTTATGATAGCTCTATTTTTATTTTTTTGAGGAATTCCCACACTATTTCCACAACAGCTGGGCCATTTTACAGTTGGACCAGCAACTGTTTAGGCCCTCGCAACCCCCTCCCTTGCCAACAGTTGTTACTTTTTATCTTTGCCGTTGTACTGGTAATGAACTGGTGTATCATTGATGGTTTGATTTGCCTCTTTCTGATGGCCAGTGACACTGCATATTTCATTTGCTTCGGTGGGCATCTGACCATCTTCTTCAGCAGATTTTGTTTTGTTTTTATTATACTAGTTTATTTACAAATTGATAAATCTTTCAATGGCTGATTTTCTCAGAAGTAGAAAAGACTGAAGCATAGTGATAAAAGCATGGAACTAAGAACAAAAATCCTCTTATCAATTCATGTTTATTAATATTAATAAATTAATGTTTTGCATTCATTTAGTCAACTAGACCAGGAGTCAGTAAACTTTGAGTAAAGAGCCAAGCCAAACAGTAAATCCTTGAGGCTTTTTAAGGACAGGATGTTTGCTTCCGCTTTGTTGTTTCAGTTTGAAAGCTGCTGCTGCTCCTGCTCCTGCTCCTGCTCCTGCTCCTGCTCCTGCTCCTGCTCCTGCTCCTGCTCCTGCTCCTGCTCCTTTTAGGCACCACTGAATTGACTACAATTTCATAAAGACACTATAAACAACATATCTGAACCTTGCCTTGTCCTGAGCCACCCTCACAATCTCTGATGTACTTGAACTCATTTTTTTCTTAATCATTTTAATGAAAGTTTACAGAGACTTAGGGTTTCCAGTCATTCATTATTGTACTTTTCTCCCTACCCACCCCTTCCCCCCGCAATCACTCTTCTCTTTGAAAAGAAAAAGAAAAATTTTTTCATTGTTATACAAACCCTCCTCCCAAGTCCACTCACTCTGCAGCCTTCACTCTGGGTTTCTGTAATGACAAGAACACCCATTCATATGTCCCTTTTAAACAGTTCTCTCCCTCATCTGTTTCAATGCAATATACATCATTCCTCCCCTCCTTTTCTGTCTTCCTTAACCCCAGTGTCAGTTCAGTTTTACAACAGTGGCCCTATGCATTATTTGTCATTTTGTGACTGAGATATTTCACGCCACATAATGTCCTCCAGGGTCACCCATTTTGTGTAATATGAGTTCCTTGCTTTTCAGTGCTGCATAGTTTTCCATTGTGTGAATAAACCAGAGCTTCTCTATCCATTCGTTTGTTGATGGGCACTTAGGTTGTTTCCAGCTCTTTGCTATTGCAAACAAAGCTGCAATTAACATGGGTGTGCCTATATCTGTTTGGGTGGCAGTTATAGTTTCTTTAGGGTAAATTCCCAGTAGTGGAATTGCTGGGTCAAATGGCATTTCCATTTGCAACTTTTTGAGAAAGCGCCATACAGCCTTCCATAGTGGTTGCATCATTTTACACTGTCACCAACAGTGAATAAGGGTTCCAGTTTCTCCACAACCTCGCCAGCATTTGATGTTTGCTGTTCTGTTAAATTTTGCTATTCTTACTGGGGTGAGATGATACCTCAGAGTTGTTTTTATTTGCATCTCGCTTAGAGCTAGCGATTTTGAACATTTCTTCATGTGTTTGTTTGCCATCTGAATGTCTTCTTTGGTGAAGTGTCTGTTCAGATCCTGTGCCCATTTTTCAATTAAGTTATTTACTTTTATCTTGTTGTGGTATGATCCCATTTTTATAGTCACTGTATTAGCCCCTCGTGTTTAGGGTCTTCTTCTCTTTGTCTCACCATCCACCTTTCCCAGCATGTCTTTTTCCAGGGATGGGTCCAAACATAAATTAATGGACTTTACCTCGTTCCACTCACACTTTATTTACAAACATCTCCAAATTACTGAGGACTAATCATTTCAGTTTAAAGACTAAGTTGTACCTGATTCAGGCCATGGTCTTTTCAATCACATTTTATGCACCTGAGAGCTGGACCGTGACTAAGAATGAGAAGAAGAAATCAATGTCTCTGAGTTGTAGTGTTGGAGAGAATATTGAATATCCCATGGACTACCAAAAGAACAAGCATATATATGTCTTGGAAAAAGTTCAGCCGGAATGCTTCATCTTACGTACTTTGGTCATGTTGTTAGGAGAGGTTATTTCTTGCAAAGAGACATTATGCTTGGAAAGGTGGAGGGTGAGCAAAAGAGAAGACCCTCAAAGAAATGGATTGACACAATGACTGAAGCAGTGGGCTCTGTTCTGTCAGAGATGATGAGGACGGCACAGGAGATGACCAGGTTCAGATCTGTTGTTCACAGGGTTGCTATGGGTTGTACTCAGTCACACCTAACAACAAGTCAACTAGCCAGAATAAGCCATAGTTTGCTAGCCTCTAATCTAGTCTGTTCAGAGATACAGAGAAAAGATACTGTCTTTTCTCCAAGGAGTTCAGTATAGTTTAGTGCAGTCCTTAGCTAGGGTTGATTATCAGAATCACTTGGGCTCCACGATATGTTTTCCCAGAACTTCCCAGTTGATTCTGATGCAAGTCTTTGCTTGAGAACTGTTAGACAGAAGTAGTTAAGACTGATAACTTAAAGGTAATTAGTAACTTGCAGCTGTTAGTGGGCTTTTGTCTTAAGTAATTTACCCACTATCCCACTTAAACATGAAAATCTTATATGAAGTAGAACTATTTACCACCACTTAAAGATGAGGAAACTGAGACATAAAAAGGAAAGGTAACTTAAAGATTTTATGTTAGACAGCCAGGCTTCAGATTTCAGATGCTATACTCTGTCTTTTCTTTCTTTTTCTTGTTGTGAACTGTCGAATCAGATCCAATTGGCACAGGAGGAGATTGCCCCTCCTTCTCCAGCACAGCATCTGGTGATCCTATACTCTAAACCTCTATTATTGAGGCCTCTCAGCACAGACTTTATAGTATTTGGAATTGTATGCAGTAAGCACAGGATGGTATAGAAGCAGAGAATAAGGGGTCTGACCTTGTGTAGGGACTAGGAAAGGTATAAATAAACATGGGGTTTACCATGTATGTGAAGGGAGGGTTAAGCATTCTAGACAAAGAATAGCTTTGATAAAATTTCTATGAGGCATAGAAGAGCACAGATCACGGTGATAGTGATAAAGAAACTGCCTAATCAGGCTGCTTCATTTCCTTGGCTTTAACATGTGTACCTGAAAATTGAGGATAGTAATACTCAATCCATTATCCATATTCATTATTCATATTGGAAATGTAAAGATACTTCATAGACAGAGTTAATTCAAGCGAAAATTGGGAATTCATGATAAGGCTAATGCTGTGTTTCATGGAACCCAAAGGAAGAAACAGAACTGACACTAGAAAGCTACATGACCCGAAACAGTCATTTCTCTCTTTTTCCTTAGTGCTGTCTACACATCTGCTGTGTTCTCTTTCTGGTTTCTAGTCTGCCGTATAAAAGATAGTCTATTCCTACTTCAAGATTTAGATGTTAAACTTTAGGAGAATGTCCTTCTTCTGAGTTCCCAGAAGAGGAACTCTAGTTGGCCCAGCATGAGTTAGGTGTCCTCCATTGAACCTCCACTTAATCTCAGAAGGTTATGCAGAGTTTATTGCCAAGAGCTCGTTCACATTTGTATGTAGTTAGGAGAGGAGGGCACAGGGAACAGGTAATAATTAGTACTATAAAGTATATAGTATACTATATGTAACTGGACACAAGAACTTAGGGATGGCACAATTATGTATGTGATCACTGATTTGCCTAGGTCTCAATCAGTCTTCCTGGGGGTTCACTGTTATACCCAATTTTTGAGGTGCCCTAGCTTTAACTTGTGGACTGCTGGGGCTTGGATTAGGATTGCTTTGATTGCAGGACAGGATCAAAGATGCATGGCTCCAAAGTGACCAACAAAGGTTAACAGTAGATGTTAAAGAACATTTAAGCCCAGAGTTTAGGTGCAGCAAGATTTTCCCTTGGGTTTTAGGAACCCTGGAGTCCCTATTATTATATTTCCTTTCTGTCTATTCCAGGGAGATGGTACTGGAGTTGCCAGCATTTACCGAGGGCCATTTGCAGATGAAAATTTTAAACTTAGACACTCAGCTCCAGGCCTGCTTTCCATGGTAAGTAATCAGATTGAACTCAAATTTGGGGTTAAAGCGATAGTTGGCTGATTTCTGGACCCCTTTTGAGACCCAGTGCTGCATCTTTGAATGAAATCAAAGGCTTTTCCTTTCTTCTTCACCCAGGACTGACAGCTGCCTCACCCAACCCCTTCTTCAGTCTGCTTCATTGTGTTGGACAGGGCCAGCTGGTCCAAAGGCAAGGAGTCCAAAGTTGAACTTTGATATACTTTTTTCTCTCCTTTGTTTGATCCAGGACTTGTGGCTGAACATTCAGTCTAGCTCAGAATCCAGCCAGTTTCCCTTTCAGGACCTGTGTTCACTCACTTATCACTGGGCTCACCACTGCTCCCTCCCAGCACCTGTTCCCACTGCCTACTCACTGGACACTCCTTTTGTTCACTCATCTCTCCTTGCTCCTTCTTGGCAGCACCTCATTTCCAACTTCCACTCACACGTCCACACACACTTGTCACAGTTCCCCCTACCCATCTCATTTACACTCCCTCATTTACCCTAGTCCACTCACCTTCAGTGCTCATACTTCCTTCCCCTATTCATGCTCCACATTGATAACATTTTTTTCAACAAGCATTTTGTTTGCATTATTTTAATCCTCCCTCTCCTTTTTGTGATAGTTACAAATAGATAGTGTTAAAGCTGGAATCAGAGTGTATTATCTTAACTGGGAAAATTTATTACTTGGAAGGATGAAAAAAATTAATGCCTAAATATAAAGAGTGTCAACTGTAAAGGCTTATTGCAATGCTGGTCTTGTGCCTACTTACTGATAAGTGTTTATACATTGGACACACAATGTATTGTTACTGTTGGATACCATATACACACAAAATCAATAGTTGAATGGAATGGATTCTCCAGGGAATGCTGTCTCTCCATTCCCACAGAGCTTGTGCCAACTCTGACAGCCTCAGGCCATCTCTTACTTGCATATGATGTTCCTAAACACATTTGTAAGAAATAAAACTTATTTTGTCTTACACTGGAGATTTCTAAGACATAACACAAAATTCCAAATTTAAGGTCATGGTTTGGTTTTTTTTTTTATTACTTTTAATAGACATTTACAGAGGTTCTGGATTTCCATTCATTCATTGCCACACTTTCTCCCTGCCCACCCCTCCCCACCAGTTCGCTCCCCTCTCTGAAAAGGAAAAAAAAAATTCCTTCATTATTATACAATTCCCCCATCCTTTTCCCCCCACCCCCACCCTGAGTACACTTCTCTATGCAACCTTAATTCTGGATTCCTGTGCTAACCATAAGACTCAATCATATGTCACCTCTAATCTGTTCTTTCCCTCATCTGTTTCAATATAATATACATAATTTATCCAGTTTTTTCTGTCATACCCCAACCCTGATGTCAGACCCATTCTACAACAGTGGCACCATGCAGTATTTGTCCCTTTGTGACTGAGATATTTCACTCAGTATAATGTCCTCTAGGGTCACCCATTTTGGATAATATTGCATGAGTTCATCTTTTGATGGTATCTTTAGTAATATTTTAAAGGTTTTTTCCTAAAAATAAGGGGGAAAGCAATAAAATAGTCACATAATTGTACAGACACTTTTGTAGGGCAGTGCTGCTGAAACAGAACTTGAAGTTGCTAATAATACAGAAGGATGGATTTAGCTCATTAAAGACAGTCTAGGAGTATTGATAATAATGTACAAAAGTGCACCTCAGAGAAAGTCCCTTTACAAAGCATTTATCACTCCAGACTATAATTATAGCCTGTTCTTTTATAGGGCATTGTTAAATATAACAACAGTTTGAAGGGAAGAAAGGGGAAGATTGGACTAGAGAGTTGAAGATTCTAATTCTTAAGAAAGACATTTTTCCTATAAAGTTCCATAATTAAAGGGTTTGTGTATATCTATATTTATTTGTACTAAGGATCTCTGGTGGTGTAGTTGTAAGGCATTGCGCTGCCAATGCAAACGTATGCAGTTCAGAAGTCACCACGTATTCCATGGTAGAAAGATGGGCAGTCAACTCCCAAGCAATTGATTGCCTCTGAAAACACTCCAGAGGGTCAGCTGTGGGGTGGTTCCGACTCTTTGGTACACAAGAGCAACATACACTTAATTAACTACAAAACATCACCAATCAAGTAGTCTCTTTACTAGCATAGCAACTTTTTCAAATTACATTCTTTTTATTACCAGTTTTATGATACTGTGCAAAGCCATTCAGACAAAGCAGCTTTATTGTATAAACACTTATTTTCCTAACTAGCAGTTACTTTGCAACTGTAATGCAGTTTAACTAGTATTGAGCTAATCATAGCAAATCATGCTTATATTTATTCCCATTGTATATACTTCCCATTTTTAAAACCTCACACCATAGGAGCAATGTACATGTTATGACTCGAGCTCTTTGAGGACAGTGGTTGTATACCTTATTAATTTCTATTTCCTGACCGCATAAGTCAAAGCCTTCTCATAGTAGGTCCTCAGTGAGGGTTTACTGGAAGAAAGCTGGCAGAAGCCAAAGTTATGGGCTGTTTTGAAAACCTTGCTCTTTGGACCATAACTGACATTGAAGCAGATATATGCACACCCATGTTTATTGCAGCTTTGTTCACAATAGCAAGGAGTTGGAAACAACCTAAGTGCCCATCAACAAACAAATGAATAGAGAAGCTATGGTATATTCACACAATGGAATAATATGCTGCATTGAAAAACAAGGAACTCATGCAATATTATTCAAAATGGTTGACTCTGGAGAACATTATGCTGAGTGAAGTATCCCAGTCACAAAAGGACAAATATTGCATGGTGCCATTGTTGTAAAAGAGGACTGACCTTGGGGTTGGGGAGAGACTGAGAAAGATGAGTTCAATAATGTATACTGCACTGAAACAGATGAGGGAGAAAACTGTTTAAAAGGGATATGTGATTAGGTATTTCTGTCATGACAGGAGTCTAAAGCAATGGCTACATGGTGGAGTGGACCTGGGGAAGGGTTTGTAAAACAATGAAAGAATTTTACTTTTCCAAGAGGGTAGTGTTCTGGGGTGGGAGGCTTGGGAGGGGAGAAATTTGCAACAATGAATGAATGGAAATCCGAAGCCTCTGTGAATTTTTACTGAAATAAAATTTAAAAAAAAAATTAAGTTAGAGTCAGGAAGGCAATGGATTTATAACTGCTCATGCTAATAACACTATATCATGGCATGGAGGAGGAATAGTGGAACTGTATCCATATTTACAATATTCTTCTTACCAAAACCATTTATGGAAAATAGGAACTGCAGTGGAACATGTATCTCTGAAGTGGAAATGATCATATTTTTAGGATTTCTAGCCTTATACTTAAAATATTATATTGTTCAAAATTATTTGTTATATATTTGTTTACATTTTCCCCTCTTTTAACAACTAGAATCTAGAGGGAAAAGACCAGAGAATGGCCAAAATTATTGGGGCAGCTATTGCAGCCAGTTTAGGGCCTGTGTCAGGAAAAGGAAGTCTTACTCATAAACAGTGCCACCCAAAGGTAATAAAGGAGGTCAGAATTGCTTCCACTGTGGAAAGCTGGGCCACTTCAGTAGACAGTGTCACAGACGAGAGCCACAGGTAGGCAAGGGTGTAGAGAGGAAGCTCCCACTCGCTTTAAGTGTGGATTTGAAGGACACATGGCCAAAGGTGGCCTACATCAGGTCCTCGTGGCTGACAGGACTGACAGGCCCCAGCTCCCAGCTGGAAACAAAGGAGGACGCTTCAACAATTTAGATACTCCCAGAAGAGCTGTGGGTGAGCATTAACATTACTGGTAAGTATATTCATTTTCTCCTGGACACAAGAGCCTACTATTTGGTTCTAAAAGCCTTCTGCGGTCCCAGCTCTTCTCACTATTTCTTAGTTGTTGGAATTGACGGAAAACCTCATAAGCAGTTCCTTACTTCACCTCTGCCTTGCATGTGGACTTCCAAGCTGTAAAACAACCCAGTGGTAGATGGAATTTGGTCCAGGACTTAAGAACAATAAATGATGTAGTTGAGCCTCTAAATAAAAAAAAAGAAAAAGAAAACCTTGCTCTTTGGCTAACATTGCCTTGAAAACTTACACAAATATATTTTGTTTCCATCAGGCAAACAGTGGTCCCAGTACAAATGGCTGCCAGTTCTTCATCACCTGTTCTAAGTGTGATTGGCTAGACGGGAAGCATGTGGTATTTGGTGAGCTCTTTTCTTATTCTATAGTCCAGGCCCCATATTTACCCAGGTTGGCAAGGCAAGGTGGGGGTGGGGGTGTCTTCCAGTGTTATCTTCCAAAGGAATATGTCTACAGACTTCACACATCAAGAGTGCTCAGTTGATATCACTGCTCTGGGCAATAATAAGGTAGAAGTAATGAGAAGACAGGGAAGATGTGTGGTTTGAGGACTACAGGAAGAAACTAAGGACCTTGTAGTTGTGAGATGACTTAAATGACATGGTACATCTGGTGAGAAAACTGGATACTAATATTAAAGAAATGCCACACAAAGACAGTGTGACACAGTGGAGCCTTGGAATGAATCAGCTCTAACTCTGATACTTATTACCTAAGGGATAGGAAGCATGTAGTAATTGGTGAGTCCTCTCTTGTCCCATAGTCTAGTCCCATATTTACCCAGGTTAGCAAGGCAGGGTGGGCATGAGAGTGTCTGGAGGACAGCTACCTGTCATGTTCTTTCTCCTCCACTGATTCTTAATTTCCTGAAGTTAGTAAGAGGATTAGATGAGATGACAATGGCTAAGAGTGGGCACTGGATATCAAAAAAGCTAAACAAATAAAAGGAATGAGTCCAGCTCATATTCTTCCTGCAGGAAAAATTATTGATGGACTTCTAGTGATGAGAAAAATTGAGGTGAGTCCTTTTCCCCCTGTTGTGGCCATTCTTTTGTGGTACTCTTTGATTAATGTTAAAAAAACTAGAGAAGGGTGGAATGGGCTTAAGTTTGTGAGACCCAGTCTTCACTGTCTCCTGTTGCACTGAGTTTGTGGAAAGAGGGGAGATCTCATTCATTCTTCCAACCTACTTCCAATGCCTCTTCTGTGAATCCTTCTTTAGCTTCTTGAAGCAACACTTGTTTACTGCGCTCTTTCCATAAATAATCTACTCTGTAATTTATTACAACGTTATAAATCATAGGCTTGATATTTTTCAAATGCTTTACATTTTCTCTTTGATCTATCTTATATGCTTTACCTGCCTACTGGGTAATATCAATCAGTGAATCACACCTACCTTACTAATATATTGTGGGTATGTGCTTTTGCTGCCTGCTGGATAATATCAATCTATAAGACCTTTCATTCTTAACACAGGGGCTGGGAGGCATCATTAATTGACTGATGAATGAGAGAGTGTCTGAATGAATGAATATCCACAGTGTTTTTTTTCTAGAATGTTCCTACAGGCCCCAACAATAAACCCAAATTGCCTGTGGTGATATCACAGTGTGGAGAGATGTAGCATAGACAAGATTAACTCAGGTAAGTGTCTTTCCTCTCCTTATTGAGAACACAGACCCCAAAGAATACAGCATGGTCTTGTGAAAAGAACTTTACATGAAGACATTCAGGGAGTTGAGGCATCTCCTCTTTATATGGTCTTGGAGACTCCTTCTGCCTTCTTTGAGCCTCTGTTTCCTCATCTTTCATGTGATGATGCTACTTACATCCTCGAGTCACTGTAAGGATCAAAAGAGAGACAGAAATGAGAGCACTTTTTCAACTATTTTATAATTTACTAAATGTGACCTGGAAGACCACCTAGGCAACACTTTTGACCGTAGTTCCATTCAGTGGTCCCCTCGGAAGATGTGGCACAAGCTGGGAACAGCCTAAGCAGACAGAATAGACCTGTAATTCCAAACCCTTGTTTTATATTTGCCAGTCTCATTGGTGAAAATGGCACATCTCTGCCCATATGGACTCAGTTCCTAATCATTCTGAGCATGTTAACTAGGCAAGGGTGTTTGGAGAGGGGAAAGAACTGATGTCTCCACTTTTCAAGAGTTTATGTATTCTCAGAGGATCACTCAGGTAATAAGAGTCACATTGCAGGAGTTCAGGGGAGAACTTGATCACTTATCTAGATGAGAAGTGTTGCTCTTTGCTTTTGCTTTTCCTTTCTTTTTAAACCTACAGAAAACTTGGGAAAATTGCAAGTAATTGCAAAGACTTTGGCCTGAGTCAGGCACACTTTAGCCTCCAGACTGACATCGTTGCTTCTCAGCACTCTGGAGAGGTCCCTGACAGCAGATTTTCCCTGTGTAATTCATCTTTTGGTTTCCTGACTGCTGGTGCCAAGAGTGTTGATTGTAGAGCCGAACAAGCTGTAATCAATCTCTTCTCCAACTATTATGGTGCTGCCAGTTAGACTAGTGGTGAGAACCTTTGTTATTTTGATGTTGAGCTTCACACCATACTGAGGACTGCAGTCCTTGACTGCACTAGCGAGCACTTCAGGTCATCCTCAGTTTCAGCAAGTAAGGTTGTGTCATCTGCATAATCTAGGTTGTTGATGAGAGTCTTCCTCCAATCCTGATGCCACAGTTCTTAGAGATTTTGTTTTCTGTAAGTGCTATTCATCTTTTGTCTTCCTCTTTTGGCATTTCACCTGGCATTCCTCAATTCCTGTCTTTCTGTTTTATTTCAAACTGTCATACAATATTCTACATCATATAGTTTATTTTACCTTTCTCTTATAGATGGATGGCTCTTTATTATTACAAATAATGTTATAGTAAAATAAACTTTCTTCTTTGTATAAATATGCAAATGTATCTATTGAGTAGATTTACTGGCTCAAAGGAAATATATATATTATACACATTTTAAATTTTTTTTATAATTTTTTTTATTAATTTCAACGAAAATTTACAGAGACTTTGGATTTCCATTCATTCATTGTTGCACTTTTCTCCTTGCCCACCCCGCCACACACACACATTTTAAATTTTAATAACCACTTTGACTTCTAGAGGGTCATACCAGTTCATGTTCCCATGTGAAAGTACCTATTTTCCCCCTTGATATTATCAATATAAAATGTACTGGGGAGGGGGTGGAATTTGAGTGCCATTTTACCCTTCTCTACAGCTATCTCTTGGCATCCCTCTCAGACCATGCATTAAATGCCTGTTCGTTTCTTGGGGGGCGGGGAGGGGGTTACTATTTGAGTAGACAATGACATCAATGTTTTCATTTGTAGTATCTGATTTCTAAGAAAATTAAGCATATTTTCTTATATTTGTTTTTCCTTTAGGTGCTCTTAGTTTTTTTCATAATGGTATAAAGTAGTTGTGAATATTAATTCTTTTAGTATTTTGTAACTATTTTCTTAAAAATAAAAAATAGAGTGTAAGAAAATTTGGCAGTATGTATCTTAACTTTGGTAATAATCTTTGTAAAAAATGTTTTTACTTCTGATAAAGTCACAATTAGCAGTCTTTTTTGGCTTTTATATTTTATCTTTAGGATTACATTGTCTTTTATGTTTTTTTCTAATATTTCTGTTTTTCCTTTTATACTTATAAAATGATATATCTTTTTCTTTATAGTATAAATTGGGTTCTGCCTTTTTCCAAGTAGATCCTGTCAGATACTATTCCCATTTTCATAGCTGTACATACTTGGCTTTCACAGCATCTTGTAGGCATTCCGTAAACAGTTATTACATTGATTAATAAGGAGGGAGAATGTCAGACATTTTCAGCAGGAACCGATACAGATGCTGAGGCAAGAATGCGTGTGTGTTGTAAAACGCACATGGACCTCTCTTGTCAAACCATAAGGTCCCTTCTCAGCCCAAAATTGACATTCTGGGATCTCCAGCTCGTACTGAAAGGAGAAAGTAGTCCAAAGCAATAAAGTGCTGTCTTCTCCTCAATAAATGCCAGTCACTTCCTTCCTTTCCCATTTCTTGTTTTACTGTAACTAGCATTGAGCTCACAAATCTCTTTTCTTCTAAAGATTGACCACCGAACATTACTGGAAGGGAGAAAATAACAAATGGATAAACTATACTTTTAATTCTTTAATTTTTATTATACTGAGGTATTCTCCAAATACTGCTTTTAAAAAATGGGATTTGCCTTACGATATGCATATAATAGAATGTAACTGAGCTGTCACTGGTAATACATTAAAAAAAGATAAACTCCAAAAGAAAAGGAATAAAGTTCTTTAAAAAGTCTTCACATTTAGGACCTCTTTTTAAAAAAAAAATTTCTGTGCCCCTTGCTGAAAATCTTGTTAGTAGTCTAATTTTTAAAGGTGGGGCCATTCAGCCCTTCTGTTACTCAGCAAAGGTCATATGACTCTTTGTCCCCATAAAAGCCCTACTCACTCTGTACTCCAGTGGACCAAATTCCAGAGGTCCTCTAACCATACTAGTCCTTCCTGCTGTGATGAACATGTTCTCCATCTGCACTGAAATAAGGCAGAGAGCAGCTGAAGTTCACATAGTGACTAGGCTGAAAAAGTAGCTCTTCATATAAATGGTAGGTGTAGCCCATATTTTGGAAAATTATGGACAGACATACTAGTGGTACTTGATTATTCCTTCCTTGATTCCACAGCGAAGCATGAATAACTTATATTATTGGCTCTGTGTTAGGTATGGGGTTACAGATGTAAAAGGTCCACTGCCTTCAGGTAGCTTACAGGCTCATGGGAAAACTGGCTATTATAAATAAAGTTACAGTATAATAAAGTGCTGGATTAGACAGACTTTAGGACAAGGTGCAGAGAGACAGAATGCCAGTATCTGCCTAGGGTGGTTTGGAAAAACTGCAAGGAAGATGATCTGAGTAGAAGAAAGAAAAGGGTTTGTCTGGTGGCAGAAACTGGGTAGTGATAGTCCAGGCTCCTTTTTGGTACATGGCCAGGAGAGACCAGTCCTTGAAGAAGGACCTCATGCTCAAAATGGTGTTGAGAGGAAGATCCAGATGAGATGGACTCATTCAGTAACTGGGCAATGGGGGTAGGTGTGTCAGAATCAGTGAGACTGGCTCAGGATAGGGTAGGATTCAGAGCTGCTGTACATAGGGTCATATGGGTCACAGGCAACTCGACAGTACATAAAAGCAACATAACAATTCCAGGGAGAGAGAACAGCATTTCCAAAAGCACAAAAAGAGAAAACATAAGGTGTAAGACAAATTACAAATCTGTGTGTCCATAGAAGGAAGGTATGAGAGACATGGGCTAGTGGTGAGGGTCACTCTAAGGACTTCACATGTTATCCTGAGGGGCAGGCTTTAGGCAGTAAGTATATTTTCCTCCTCAGTGAGAGAATCCATTGTGCTCCTGAAGCTCTGGAAGCAGATACCGACTCTCCAAAAAGCACACTATAGGGTCAGTAGAAGCCACAGAAAGACTTTAAGACTTTAATCAAAGTATGGTGATTGAAATTTCTTATTCTCAAGATTATTTGGTCATGTGAAGGATAAACCGGTTAAGAGTCCACTGCCGTAGTCTGGGCAAGAGAAGAAAAGAGGTCCCATGTCAATAAATATATGGCTATGGCTGTAGGGAGCATTTTAGAGATATCCTGACTCACCCAGCAGACTTACCCAGTGCAATACATTTCCTTCTGTCCTGGTTCCCAGGGTGTTGACTATGGATCCAAGCAAGACAAAGTCATTCACAGTTTCAATCCTTTCCCCACCTATTATGATGTTCCCCATTGACCCAGTGGTAAGGGCCACAATACTGGAAGACTAAAGAGCATTATAAAAATACCAAAATACTGAAGAACTGTGATGTCAGTTTGAAGACTAAGGTACACCTAATTCAGGCCATGGTCTTTTCAGTTATGAGTATGACAGAATAATAATTGATGCCTTTGAGATGTGTTGTTGGAGAAAAGTACTGAGTATCCCATCAACTGCCAAAATAACAAACAGGGAAAGGGTACAGCCAGAGCAAAAAAGAATATCATGTCTGGAAGGGTGGAAATTCAGTGAAAGAGAAGAACCACACCACCCCCACCTCCAATCAAGATGGATAGACATGGTGACTGCAGCAGTGGGCTCAAGTATATCAGAGACAGTGAAGATGGCACAGGATAGAGAGAGAAGATTCAGGTATGTTCATAAGGTTGCTATGAGTCATATTCGATGGCACCTAACAAAACAACAGGCATCATAGAGATTTGGCAGCAAATACTTGTAAGCCTTCTAAGTATATAGCACTGTCTGTTTTCTGGCCCCCAAATCAGAAGTCCTGCCAGCTGACAAAAAGAAGAGAGGAAAGAATGGCTGTATTCCAACCAATCTCGTGTAGCTGCAAAGCACGCTCTACATCATAAGTGGGTCTTACGCACACTGAGCTATATCCCAATCAATGGAATATGACTGAATCTTAAACGAAGAAAGGTAGACCTGTGTGTGCGATGGCAGGGTCCTAAGGTAAATTAAGTGATAAAGTCAAGAAGTACCTTATGTGTTAAACTATTTTTAATTA